TATATCCCAGTTGACCTCAGCATGCTCCCAGTCACACCAGTTATGCTCCCTGTCATTCCCAGTGTGGTCCTGGTCGCTCCCAGTATGATCCCAGTTGCCCCCAGCGTGGTGGCTCCAGGATAGATCAGGAATGGGGAGCCCCGTGTGTCCCCCCCGTGTCACCCCGTGTCTGGGGGGGCTTTGGAGGAGCACTTGCACCCCAACACTGCACGCAGCGCTCCAAAAAGGTGCCGGGACCCCCACAAACCGCCCCCGAGCCACTCAAAGACCCCCGAACACGCTCTGACCCCACCCAGACCCCCCAAACCCCTCACGTGGGGAGACCTTTCTGGGCACTGGTGGTGCCGGAGCCCCCCGGCTGCGGGGGCAGCTCCTCCATGTGTGGGCAGAGCCGCAGCCCCAGCGCTCCCCACCTCGAGCCCACCGGGCCCCCCCTCACCCCCAGCGCCCCCCGGGACGGCAATTTGGGCAGGGGGGAGGGGAATGGGGGCTGGGCTCAAGGGGGCGCTGGGGCTGGGCCGGGGGAAAGGGCTGCAGGGGGCGGATCCCGGAGGCGGAAACACAGAAAAAGCGAGGGACAGCCAAGGCAGGAGCCGGACGGGAGGACAAAGAAGAGGAGGAAGCAGCGCGTGGAGGTCGCTCGGTAATGGCGACGGGGGGGAAGGAGTGACCGGTTTTGGTGTCCCCCGTGAGAGCCGGGGGGAACCCCGGTAGTGGGGAGAGCAGAGAGGGTCGATCGCGGAGCTGGGGGACCCCCGGAATCCGGGAGTGGGGGGGGAGCACAGAAGGAGCGCCGGGCCCTTAAACGGGGGTCGCAGAGAGGGGGAACCCCTTGGAGTCTGGAGAGGAGGGGGGGCCTTGAGACTGGGTAGGAGCCGAGACCCGCAAGAGCTTTGAGAGGGCGGGAGCCGAGAGAGGAGGGACCCCGGCCCCGGGAGGCAGAGTCGGGAGAAGTGACCCCTGGGACCCCCCTTGTTATAGTCAAATGACCAGATATAAATTTTTTCTTTTAAATATATTGTAGAAATTTATTGAAGGCAAATAAGCAAAACAGCGCGCTGGAAGACCCGGGGAAACTCCTGTTCCACCAACAGTCTTCCCGCCAAAAACGTGTAATGATCTTTTATATGTGCCAGTATTCCCTCCCCTTTAGGCGGCGCCTGGATGCCGGGTGGCAGGTCCCAGATGGAGGTGGTCCTCAGATGGCAGCGGCTGCTCTCGAAGCGGGGCGAGTGGCTCCTCCCTCGGGCCGGCTCCTCCCTCGGGCAGCTTGCTGCCACGGCTGCTCTGCCGCTCCTGGCTCGGCTGTGACAGGCTGTGCCGGGGGCTGTGCCGCTCGGCTATGTCCCTTTTATCCATATCTTTATAGGCACATTTAAAGCTTACATTCAGAACTTGTTTAACATAGTAAGATATAGCTTTCCATAGTAACATAACATTGTGGTTTGACATTTGTAATTCAAACTAACCACTAACACTAACATTGCAAAGATAATTTGATTAGTAAATTATTTATCTTTGCCTTTATTAACTATTTCACCTTGGCAACACTAAACGGGACCCCGGAGAGTGGGAACCCCCAGGACCCCCGGGAGCCCGGAGAAGGGGGACCCCCAGGACCCCAAAGTGAGGAGCCCATAGAGGGGGGACCCCTGGGATTCCCGGGATCCCCGGCAGCCCAGAGGGGGGGGCAATCCACGCAGGACCCTCAGCAGCCCCAACAGGGTGGCATTGGCCGTGCTGGACACGGGAGAAGCTTCTGGCAGCTGATCACAGAACCCCCCCTGGAGCCCCCCCCCGGTACCAAAACCTGGCCACAGAAACCCTATACAGCCCCCAGACCCAAATTGGGAAAACTGGGAATGTGCCATTCCATAATTTTGGGACAACTGGGAGAATCCTGTGTTCCCAGGCCCAAACTGGGAGAATTTGGAATGCTTCATGTCCTTAATTTTGGGAAAATTGGGAGAATCCTGTGCCTCCAGACCCAAATTGGGAAAATTGGCAATGTTCCATGTCCCATTCCTTAATTTTGGGAAAACTGGGAGTGCTCTGAGTCTCCTTCTTAATTTTTAGATAATCAGGAGAATCCTGTGCCTCCAGACCCAAACTGGGAAAATTGGGAATGCTCTGTGTCCTTAATTTTGGGAAAACTGGGAGAATCCTATGTCCCCAGGAATCAAAGAAAGGGGGATCTGGAGGCTGGAAAACTGGGAATGGCCTGGTAGGGGGTCCCAGTGCCTGGGAAAAAAGGGGTGTAGGGGGATCCCAATAATAATAGGGAAGAGCAGGAGCAAACAATGGGATGAGGCTCCAAAGTGCTGATTTCCAGCAGCAGGAAGGTGGGGAAAGGGCAGGGAAGTGCCCCCAGGGAATGGGATCCTGGAGCAGATCTGCTGGTCAGGGCCTGAGTGGGAACTGGGAACAAGGATTTTGGGAATGCAGAGCAGCAGGAGGGGGGTTGCCCTGCCCATCCTGAGCTTCCCAGAGCCCAGTAACTCCCAGTATGGCCCCAGTTAGCTCCAGTATGAGCCCAGTCACTTCCTGCCATTCCCAAAATGAACCCAGTATCATGCCTGTTCCTTCCAGTCTCTCCCAGTATGATCCCAGTTTCCTCCAGTATGAAACCAGTCACTTCCAGTGTGATGCCATTTACTGCCAGCATGGTCCCAATTGCTCCCACTCAGCCCCAGTATGATGCCAGTCACTCCCAGATGCTCCCAGTATTATTGCAGTCACTGGTTCCAGTCACTCCCAGTATATGCCAGTCTCCCCCAGCATGATCCCAGTTGCTCACAGCCATTCCCAGTCACCCTGAGTGTGGTCCCAGTGACTCCCAGTTTGACCCAGTCACCTCGAGCACTGTTTCAGTTGCTCCCAGTATGTCCCAGTTGCCCCCAGCCTGCTCTTTGTCCCTGCCAGTATGATCCCAGTCCCTCTCAGTATGATCCCAGTTGCCCCCAGCATGGTCCCATTTGCTTCCTGTTCCTCCCAGTGTGGTCCCAGTTGCAGCTACTTGCCCTTAGCATAATCCCAGTCACTGCCAGTATGATCCCAGTCTCACCCAGCAGGTTCCCAGTCACACCCAGTTGCCCCCAGTATAGACCCAGTTACTTCCTCTTGCTCCCACTTGCCCCAGGCATGGTCCCAGTTGCTCCTCAGTTGATCCCAGTTATTCCCAGTGTGGTTCCATCCAGTCCCAGGATGGCCCAGGTGGCTGCAGGATGCACCCAGTCCTTCCCAGTTGCTTCCAGCACGATCCCGGTTTCTCTGAGTTGCTCCCAGTAGCCCCAGGTGTGGTTCCAGTGCCCCCAGCATGGTTCCAACCTGGTCCCAATTGCCCCCAGCCTGCTCCTTGTCACTCCCAGTATGATCCCAGTCCCCCTCACTGTGATCCTAGTCTCCCCCAGCTGCTCCCACTGTGATCCCAGGATGACCCCAGCTGCCCCCAGCATGGTTCCAGTGTCTCCCTGTTGCTCCCACTGGGATCTCAGTTGCACACAGGTGCTCCCAGTCTAGCCCCAAGTAGTCCCAGTATGACCCCAGTCTCACCTAGCATAGTCCCAGTCACCCCCAGTGTGGTTACAGACACTCCCAGCATGATCCCAGTGTGGCCCAGTCTCTCCCAGAACAATCTCAGGATGATCCCAGTGTGTCCCAGTCTCTTCCAGTACGATCTCAGGATGATCCCAGTGTGTCCCAGTGGCTCCCAGGATGATCCCAAAGCTCCTGGAACACCTGGAGGCCCCACCCAGGGGAGGTCCCTGCAGGTTCTGTGGCTGCAGAAGAGCCCCCAGGAGCCGAGGTCCCCCCAGGCAGCAGAAGGTGGTGACAACTCTCCAGCCCGGGGTCCTGGGAGCACCGGGGGGTCTCCAGCCCCACCCCCCAGCCAGGGGCTCCCACAGCCCCTCCTGCTGCCCCCAAAATCCTTTGGGACGGGATGGGATGGGTTTGGGAGGAAGGGGGGGCCAAGGGTGGGTGCTGGTCCTGCAGGCAGGAGGAGAAGGGATGGAGGAGGAGGAGGGGAAGGAAGAGGAGCCTCAGAGTGGGGAGAGCAGAGAGGAGCCATCCTGGAGCTGGGGAGGACCCCCGAACCCTGAAAGAGGGGCCTGCAGAGGGGGTACCCTTGGGCCCCCTGAAACACTGAAGGGGGAGCCTGGAGAGGGGGAGCCCTTGGAGCCCTGGCAGTGCAGACAGGGGGGAGCCTGGAGAGGGGGAGCCCTTGGCAGCCTGGGGAGGGGGGAGTGCAGAGAGGGGGAGTCTCAGGACCCTGAAGAGCCCAGAGAGGGGACAGCCTGGAAAGGGGGGAGCCTCAGGACCCCCATCAGCCTGGTGAGGGGGGGGACCCAGAACCCCCGAGCAGAGTCAGGGGAGAAGGGACCCCTGTGACCCTCCCAACCCCTGGTATCCCTAAGTGGGGGGACCCTGGATAGGGAGGTCCACCAGAACCCTGAAGTTGGGAGATGGGGGAGCCTTGGATTCCTGGGATCCCCAACAGCCTGGAGAGGGCAGGGACCCCATAGAGGGGAGACCCCAAATACACACGGGACTCCCAGGAGATCCCAGGGGGGACCTGCAGAATCCCACAGTGGAGAGATCAGAGAGGAGGAGCTCCTGGCTGGGGAGTTTTGGGCTGAATCTTGGTGTTTTGGAGGTTTTTATGGTCAGAAGATGCCTGGTGACTTCTAGAGATGGATTTCGGCAGGAGGAACCCCCAAGCCAACGCTCTCAGCCCTTGTTTCCCCCCCGCAAGATTTGTCCTTCCCAAAGCTTGGGTGGATGGAGGAGGAGGCTGCCAGGAAGAGGAAAAAGCCGCAGGCCTCCCAGGCAGGTGAGGAGGAAGTCAGTGCCCCTTTGGCCCTATCTTGTGGTGCCTGTGGGTTCTGGGATTTGGGGGGATGTCCTTGGCCCTCCCTCTGGGCCGGAGGCAAATCCCCTACCTGTCCTTCTTCCTTCCTGCCCCAGGCCCCGAGCTGAGGATGGAGAGCACGGAGGACAAATCCCCCCAGCAGAGCCTGGTGGGAGAGGCCGTTTTGAAGGGCTCCCGGTGCAGGAAGGCAGTGGGGAGGAAAAGGCCCGGAGATGCCCCCGGAGGAGGGGCTGCAAAGCCAGCCCAGGGAGCTCTGAGGAGGAAAGACCCGTCCTGTGCCGGGAAGGCGGCCAGAGCTTGAGCCGGAGCTCCGAGCTGGTGGTCCCTGAGCAGCCTCCCAGCAGGGAGAAGCCCTTCAGGTGCTTGGAATGTGGGAAGACCTTCAGGCAGAGCAACCACCTCCTCAGCCACCAGCACATCCACACTGGGGAACGGCCCTACACATGTAGGGAATGTGGGAAGAGCTTCAGTGACAGCTCCACCCTCCGCAACCACTGTCGCATCCACACTGGGGAACGGCCCTACAAGTGTGGGGAATGTGGGAAGAGCTTCAGGCAGAGCTCCAACCTCCACAACCACCAGCTCATCCACACTGGGGAACGGCCCTACAAGTGCTTGGAATGTGGGAAGAGGTTTCAGACCAGCTCAGATCTCCTCAGGCATGAGCAGACACACACAGGGGAGAGGCCCTTCCGCTGCACTGACTGCGGGAAGGGCTTCAAGCTTAACTTCCACCTTGTCAGGCACCGGCACATTCACACCAGGGAGTGTGGGAAGAGCTTCACCGGGACAGCTCTGCTTTGACCAGACACCAACGGACCCACCAGTAAGGGAAGCCCCTACGAGTGCCCCGAATGTGGGAAGAACTTTGGCTGCTACTCCCACCCCGAATGACCCCCCTGATGGTGAGGCAACCCCTGGAGTCCAGTGACTGTCAGTCCATCCCTTTCCACCAGAAAGGGCCAGTCCCCTTTCCCAGGGGCAGGTTTTTCCAACAGATCCCTTCTTGGGGGGTGTGTGGAGATTCCTGCCTTGGCTGGGGACCCCCAAGGTCAGTGCTGGAGGTTGAGAGCAGAGATCTCCCCAGGAGTGTTGGTCTGGGGGAGTTCCATCCATCTCTAACTCATAATTCTTACTTTGGTGCCAGCTTGAGTAGAATTGCTTCAACAATTGCTTTAGTGTAGATCGCTGTCCTACTGGTAGTTTTAGTGTTTCTATTGTGCAGTAAATAATTCTGAATGAAGATCTTTTGTTTGATTATTTTCAACCCTCAATAATTCCTTTCTATCAATAGATCTGATTTGCCATCTTTAAAACCTGGAGTACAAATGTGGTTCAGTCCCACCTCTGTAATTCCCGTGAACTGTAACTGTTGGCATAACCCAAGGCTGAGAGTGGATCCAGCAGCCCCAGAACCCCACAGTAAGTTGGAAGCTCGGGGAACTACCCCTCTTTCCCAGCCCTGTGTGCCCAAAGACCCCCATGGGACTGTCCGCCCTGTCAGACCACCCTCCCTTTTCCACCCTTTTCCCTGTTCTTTCCACTTTTCCATGATCCCTCCAGGATCACTCTGGGCATCCCAACCTCCACATTTTTCCCCTCCTCTCCCACTCCTTCCGCATAATCCCCCCACTCCCCAACCCCCTCATGCTCTGTTTGGGGGTTTGACCCTGCCCTTTCCCCACTCTTCTCACCTCTCCTATCCATTTTCCATGACCCTCAGTCCCCCTCCACTTTTGTGGAGTGCCACTCCCCTCCCACTCACTTTGGGGTCCCACCACCCCTTTTATCCCCTCTGATCCCCCTTTTCCCATCGCCCTCCCCCTTCCCACACCCCGCTCACCTGAGAACTCCTCACCCGCAGCCGGGGGGGCTCCCAGCACCACCAGTGCCCAGAGAAGACTCCCAGAAAAGGGGTAGGGTGTGGTCCTGGGTGGGCTCTGAGTGTCTTTGGGGGTCCTTGAGGGGCTGTGAGGAGGTTTTGGGGGGTCCCAGCACCTTTTGGGGTGAGCTGGGTGCCTATTGAGGGGCAGGTGCCACCCCCAAAGTCCCCCCAGAGTGGGGTAACACTCTGGGAACACAGGAGGGTCCCCATTCCCGATCCATCCTGGGGCCAGTTCTGCCCTCCCAGATTTGGCTCCACCCCTTGGGATCCTCCAAACCCCCCCAGTGCCCCCCAATAACCGGGACTGGGGAGAACTGGGAAGCTTTGCTGGGATCACTGGGAGCAGCTGGGTGGAGGCAGAGTGACAGCAGGGGAGGGGGGACACGACCCCCCAAAATCCTCACGGACACAGGGGGGGGTCCAGGCTGTGCCCGAGGCCCCGGGGAGGGGCTGTGACTGCCACCGGCTCAGGAGCTCTGTGGGGAGAGAAAAGGGGGTGACAGCGGGGTGGGGGGACAGGGGGGACACCGGGATACACCCAGAGCTGGACTGGATCCAGCGGGACCAGAACTGGAGCAACTGGGATCGTACTGGGAGCACCTGGGCCCCTGCTGGGGTCATGCTGGGATCATACTGGGAGTGACTGCAATAATACTGGGAGTGTGTGAGAGGGACTGCAGCCATACTGGGGATGAGTGGGATCAAACTGGATTCGTGCTGGAAGTGTCTGGAAGTTACTGGGATCATACTGGGAGCAACTGGGACCATGCTGGGCAAATGGCATCGTCCAGGCAGTGCCTGACAGTGCCCAAGGCCATACAGGACTCAGACTGGGAGTCCCTGAGAGGGAAAAGAACCATCCTGGGGGGGCCTGGGAGCAACTGGGACCACCTTGGGGGCAACTGGGATCCAATTGGGAGTGACTGGGGTGACTTGGATCATAGTGGGAGTGACCAGGACCATATTGGAACCATCCTAGGGGTGACTGTCAGTGCCCAGGATCATACTGGGAGTAACTGGAACTATGCAGGGGGTGACTGAGAGCAACTGGGATCATACTGGAATCAACTGTGAGTACCTGGGAGTGACAAGGTCCATACTGGAGTCAACTGACATAGACTGGGAGTTACTGGAATCACAGTGATGGGAACTGGAAGCATCCTGGGGCAATGGAGGTAACTGGGTATGACTACAAGCATGCTGAGGGCAACTGGGATATACTGGGAGAGTCTGCAACCATCCTGGGGGTGACTGGGACAGCATTGGGAGTGACTTGGACCATGCAAGGGGCAACTGGGAACAATTGGGAGTGACTGGATCTACAAGGGGCAACTGGGATTGACTGGGACCATACTTGGGTTGACTGGATCTGTGCTGGAGGCAACTGGGAGCAGCTTGGCCCATGCTGGGGACAACTGAGCCCACAGTGAGGGTAACTGGGGTCATACTGGGAGTGGCTGAGAGCATTCTGAGGGCAGTTGGGACCATGCAGGTGCAACTGGGATAAACTGGGAGCAACTGGGGCCACACTGGGAGTGACTGGGAGTGGCTGTGAGCAACTGGGATCATGCTGGAATCCTGGCAAAGAGATTTCTTCCTTAAAATCCTCCTTTTGGCCAGAGAAGCCTCGGTGACATCGCAGATGTTTCATGCAGTGTTGGAGCATTCCCAGGAGCACAAATCCACAGGGATCTGCTGCAAAGTCGCCTCTAGAAAAGCCAAACCAGCCCAGGGTGAGTTTTGTAGCCAAACACAACCAGGTTTGTGTTTCCAGGGTCACCAACTCTGCCCTTCTCACCTCTCTGAGGTGGGGTGGGAGCAGCACCGAGACCCAAAAAGCTGCCAGAAACACCCCACAAAAGTTGCCAGAAACCCCCCAAATTAATGAGCCCCCTACAAATTCCAAGCAGATCCCATCCTTCCATCCTTTTGGTTTGCTGTTGGTTAAAAGAAGGATGGAAATACAACTATATATATAATTAATATTGTAGAAAACATAGATATGATAATCTTAATTAAACTTTAAGATAGAGTAATAGAATCATAGAGCTAACTGGATTGGAAGAGACCTCTGAGATCATCAGATCCAACCCTTTTTTTTTTTTTTTTTTAATTAAAAAATAAATTTCAAAATTTCTATATTTACTTTTAAGCAACAATCCAACTCCATGAAGTTACAACACACACTTCTAAAGGATGAGATTTTCACCTCATGATCATGCACAGCATTGAGTTAGTTGTAAAAAAAAAAAAAAAGCCCTGCAATTCTTATTTATATAATCCACTCCACCTTTACTGAATAAAGTCTGAGCCCCTTCCCAGCACTAGGCCTGAGTGGCTCTGCTCATTAGCCCTCTATTTGGCACAGACCCTGCATCATAGTCCAGTATCAAAATTTATTTTGGTTTTAAAGGCAGCGTGGGGTACATTAACATCTGTGTGCAGGTAACTCATTGCAGGGGCTGTGCAGGAGGAGGCTCTGGGGTGGCTCCTCCATCCTCAGCCACTCACCCCCAGGGCTGGGATGAGGAGGAGCAGCCCTGTGACCAGCCCGGTGACCCCCATGGGCACCTTTTTGTCTTTGATGCACCTGAGGCTGAAATCTGGGGACAAACCCCATGGAAGGGGCACAAAGAGCACCCCCACCCTCCCCCAGCTCTTGTATTCCCCCCGGGTCCCTTCCCCACCTCCCAGCACAGCCCCAAGCCCGTGGGGGGCTCCAGGCTCAGTTTGGGGGGTATCCCAGTGCTGTCCTGGGCATCCAAGGATTTTTGGGGCTGCATTCCCCCCATGCCCTCTTTACCAGACACCAACGGAACCACCAGTAAGGGAAGCCCCTACGAGTGCCCCGAATGTGGGAAGAACTTTGGCTGCTACTCCCACCCCGAATGACCCCCCTGATGGTGAGGCAACCCCTGGAGTCCAGTGACTGTCAGTCCATCCCTTTCCACCAGAAAGGGCCAGTCCCCTTTCCCAGGGGCAGGTTTTTCCAACAGATCCCTTCTTGGGGGATGTGTGGAGATTTCCTGCCTTGGCTGGGACCCCCCAAGGTCAGTGCTGGAGGTTGAGAGCAGAGATCTCCCCAGGAGTGTTGGTCTGGGGGAGTTCCATCCATCTCTAACTCATAATTCTTACTTTGGTGCCAGCTTGAGTAGAATTGCTTCAACAATTGCTTTAGTGTAGAGCACTGTCCGATGTTATGCTGTCCTACTGGTAGTTTTAGTGTTTCTATTGTGCAGTAAATAATTCTGAATGAAGATCTTTTGTTTGATTATTTTCAACCCTCAATAATTCCTTTCTATCAATAGATCTGATTTGCCATCTTTAAAACCTGGAGTACAAATGTGGTTCAGTCCCACCTCTGTAATTCCCGTGAACTGTAACTGTTGGCATAACCCAAGGCTGAGAGTGGATCCAGCAGCCCCAGAACCCCACAGTAAGTTGGAAGCTCGGGGAACCACCCCTCTTTCCCAG